ACTTCGAGGACAGCATGAAACAAGCTTTTATGCCACAAAAGGGCGAAAGCAGCAACTTTACTCTGGCTGTACACTTCTCCAGAACATCACTCCAACTGAGATCATATATACCCAGGATGACTAGAGTATGGAACACATTCGTAAAGCATAATGATTTCAACGAGATAAAGTCAGCTGATCAAATGAAAATGCCCGGCCACAGATGGGTCCAACTTCATCCTGTTCCCTACTTGTATGTCTCGTAACAATAAAAATGCTTTCAAATGAGCTGATGTAGGTAACAGCTCTTAGCTTGCCAATAAACTTAGGAATCCTTAACCTGTAAATAGCTTGTCAATAAAGCTAGGGATCCTTAACCTTGACAAACCGTGTGTGTGGTGTGTGTGTGTGGTGTGTGTGGGGGGGGGGAGGGGGGGGGGGGGGGGGAGAGAGAAGAGAGAGATAGAGAGAGAGAGATAGAGAGAGGATAGAGAGAGATTTTGGGGAAGAGAGAGAGAGAAGAGAAGGGTAGAGAGAGAGAGATAGAGAGAGATAGAGAGAGAGAGATAGAGAGAGATAGAGAGAGAGAGATAGAGAGAGAGAGATAGAGAGAGAGAGAATAGAGAGAGAGAGATAGGAGAGATAGAGAGATAGAGAGAGAGAAGAGAGAGAGATAGAGAGAGAGAAGAGATAGATAGAGAGAGAGAGAGAGAGAGAGAAGAGAGAAGTAAAATTAAAAAAAAAGATGGAAAAAAGTGGAAAAAAATTTAAGAAAAAGAAGAAAACAAAACTACGAAATGGGGGGGGGAAAGTATAACCCAATTTAAAAAAAAGCTTGGCCAAGCCAGTTTGTTACCCTTGTGACTAAATACCCTAAATTTTTTTAAAAAGGTATACCAATAATACTTTTAAATTGTTGTTGGTCTATAGATACCCATAAAAAGGACTGCCAGTGGGTCAACAAACCTGGTGTTCCCCTTTCATTTTATGTAAGTGATTCATAGAATTATTAGGTAACTTGTTTTTTAACATAAAGCATTTCCAACCCCTAAAAGGGTTTTTAAATTGGAAAAACCTGCTTGTCCCTTCTAGGGGTTGTTAGAGCGAAATTCCTCTAAAGAGTCCTTAGAAGAGGTTATAAGTTGGAATTCAAAGCATTTTCCAAACAGGGGTTTTAGTAATTTTTTTTGAAAGATTTTTCAACTGGGGAACATTATAACCCTCGAAAATTTGCTTTATAAATTAGATAGCCTTTAAAAAGACAATAATTTTGGGTTTTAGCAAGGGTTTTCTTAAACAGGATTTTTGAAAATTCCTAAGGTTATTTTTCACCCCTGGCATACACCAAAAAACCTTCTTTAAGGCTTGTGTTCCCTTCCTTTTTACTTCCAAAATAATCCTTTTTGGCAATTTTTTTAAACAACCTGGTTTCAATCACAATTTAAAACTTTTCATTAAAAATTTTTCCCGCTTTACACTAAACAAAAAAACCTTCTTTCAAGGCCTTTGTTTTCTGGCTGCCTCCCTGTTAACCTTTGTTTTCCAAAACCCCTTTAATCCTTTAAACCCCCTTGTTTGGTTTTAAAATTCCCTTTACTCTGGTTCCCAAATCTGTACCAATCGCAGCCTTCCTTGCCTATCGAAATACTCCTAAAAAAATACAACTGGATCCCTTTTCCTTTTAAACGCAACCAAATCTCCCTTAATATTTATTGCCCTTTTTTTTAGATTTTTACAACCTTGCAACTTTGTTCCTTTAATTTCTTCTTTGAAAATAAACCTGCAATTTTTTCCCTACCACGCAGCCAATCTCAACCCTTCAACTTTGGTTTTTTTTTTACATTTTTTTCCCTTCAACCACAGGGGGCCCTTGATTTCTTTCCCAAAGCAGATTCACGTCCCCCCTAACACCGGAATAATCTAAAATGTATACACCAGTTGTTTTCCCTCAACTAAAAATTTTTTCTTCCTTCACCGGGGAACACAAAAAGGGGGCCCGGGGGCATGTCCCGTACCCGGCGGTCCGAAAATAGGGGCGCGTTCGAAAATAGGGACACAGTTTGTCCAAAAAAATGGTCCTATTTTCGAAATGTTCAATATGTGATACGTTTGACTTTTGAGGTTCCAATGTAATAGAAAATAGTACATAAAAAACTAATTAACCCTTTCAGGGTCCAAGGCCCAAATCTGGAGTCACGCACCAGTGTCCAAGAATTTTCAAAAAAAAAATTTGTTATTTTTTCTTATGAAATCGTAGAGAATCTTTTTGTGAAGGTAATAAAACAAAAAGTACGAAATTTGGTGGAAAATTGACGAAATTATGCTCTCGCGAATTTTGATGTGTCAGCGATATTTACGAATCGGCGATTTTGCCGACTTTGACTCCCATTTTAGGCCAATTACATTATTCCAATAAAACCAAATTCTTAGCTATTTCACTAGTATTACTTCTATTCTATCGATTGAGCACAAGAAATCGCCAAGTAAAACTGTTTCAACTACAAAATAAAGTGATCGGAAATTGTTAATTTGGCCAATTTAACACAAAGTTCAAAATATTCCAATTTCAAAATAGGGTCCAGAATGAACAATGTAGGCATTCCTGGAACTAAACTAACTTTCCTCTGTTCATTTTGTTATGTTTTGAGGCTTTTTCAAAATAAATTCCATTTTTATTTTTATTCACATAATGAATTTTTATTCACACCAAAAAATAGAAGATTTACTGTTAGCAAACTGTAATAATTGTATAAATATCTCACCATATTTGTGAATGTATATTAACCCACCAGCTGGCGTGTATTAGACGTGTGAGGTCGTTTGTTTACTCTTGAATATCGGCAAAAAATTTTAAAATTTCTGCTACTTTGAGCTCAGTTTCAAGCCATTTCCAGTGCTAAAACCAATCAAAATCATCTCTATTTCTGTAATATGTTTCCCATTCTATCAAATGAGACCAAGAAATCGCAAATACAACTATAAAAAACATACGAAAAAACACTGCAAAGTTGCTGTTTTAATCGAAAAATCATGATTTGATTTTTTTTCTCTCATTATACACAGTGTGCTGCAGGATCTGTTTTATGGGGTGCACACATACCACATAGATGTATTCTCTCATATCTAGGCCCAAATGTACCACTCACAGTTTATCAGAGTGAGCTGAGCTCATGGCGTAGATCTACGGTTTGGACCCTGAACGTAAAGCCGTAGATCTACGGGACGGACCCTGAAAGGGTTAAAACAATACTGGGTGACGGCAGTCGGCGATGATACCATATACCGCGCATTTTGTGTAAACTTCATGCCTCCATATCTCGGTAGGTATTGATGGTAAAAATTTTTTGTTTAGCCTATAATGTTTAGAAAAAAGAAACTATCTTTTCATAAAAAAAAATAATTTTTTTTTTTTTGAAATTTGGGCGACCCTGAGAACAAATCCGAGAGGACCTGCCGACCCCCAGAGGGTTAATAGAATTACGAAAGTCTGTAATATAGTAGACTGTCATTCAGCATGATTTGGGTATTGCATGATTGAAGAATTGCGGCACAATTTTATGTAACACGTCGTATAATTAATTTAGCATGGTTCAGTTTGTGGGAAGGAAAAAAAAAAGTTTTCTTTTGCTCAAGCGGCCGCCTTGTCGTGGAGCAGCTGGGGAGCCCTCCTGCCATCCCCTGCCACTCCCCGATGCCAGCCCACCGACCCAGTGTTCGTAATTCATACATGTCCGACACCAGCCCACCGACCCAGTGTTCGTAATTCATACATGTCCAGTCTTTCTCTGCTACAAGGCAGATGTTTGTGAACTGTGTTATGATATTTTAATTACTATATCTTGTATCTGCCAAGTAATCATGACACCCAGTAGCCATACTAGTGCTGCTGAAAGTGGCATGAAAAGGTACAAGCACTTAAGTCTTAGAATTAACAAAGAAATAAAGATATCAGACAAGAGGTAACCTGTAGTCATAATGAAGTGTTACTTTGTACACAGAAAAAGATGTAAACATAAGTTTGTGTGACTGAATGACAGACTTACTGAATGACTGACTGACTTAATGACTTGACTGACTTACTGAGTGATTTGATGGACTTATTCAGTAAGTCCATCAAATCACTCAGTAGATCAGTAAAGTCACCCAGTAAGTCAGTCAAGTCATTAAGTCAGTCAGTCATTCAGTAAGTCTGTCATTCAGTCACACAAACTTATGTTTACATCTTTACATCTGAGTGATTTGATGGACTTATTCAGTAAGTCCATCAAATCACTCAGTAGATCAGTAAAGTCACCCAGTAAGTCAGTCAAGTCACTCTACTAGTAAGTCATACAGACAGTTAAGTCACTCATTCAGTCAGCCAAGTCACTCAGTAAGTCAAGTCATTCAGTAAGTCCATCAAGTCACTCAGTAAGTCAGTCAAGTCATTCAGTGACTTGACTGATTTACTGAGTGACTTGCCTGACTGAATCACTTACTAGTAGAGTGGCTTGACTGACTTACTGAGTGACTTGACTGACTGAATGACTTACTGAGTGACTTGACAGACTTACTGAATGATTTAACTGACTTACTGAGTGACTTGACTGACTTACTGAATGACAGCTGACTTACTGAATGACAACTGACTTGACTGAGTGGCTTAAAGTTAGACACTCCAATACAACCATCGACTTCAGTATCAGAACCTCTACCATCCACCTCAGCCCAGTAGGGCCACAGCATAACTCTCCGCTCTCTTCACAATCATCCACAAACACCAGCACCCACAATTTAAGGTAAGAAATACTATTATTTCTGTTACATTTGTAGTCTTAAGCAGTAAAAACAACATAATACATCACAACAATAAACTATAACTACATATTCACTTTTATTTAAGTTGTTTGGCTTTATGTGGGCTCTCAGGAACGTAACCCTATTTTTCCCATAAGTTCTTCAGTTCGCCTAACATGATTTTACCTAACACGGCATTTTCAGGAACATAACTACCGTGCTAAATGACTGTCTACTGTACATATTGAGTGTTAACATACACAAAAAAAAATTAAACCACAAGCCATCCTATGATAAGACTACAAGTCTTAAACCACTTACCTAATACTGTAGCCTTTCTTCAAGACTATTGCTGCTGCAGATTTGGATTCTCCTTTACTCCACTTATTAATTTGCTGCTTAGGAAAAGGTTGAGAGGAACACAGCTTAGTTTTACTAACTGCATTATCTTTCCCACATGCTGTCTGCCTTTTCTCTCCTACACAGTCATCACCTTGTCTTCCAAAGATATTTTGAAAGTCAGCATTATTAATGTTGGCCTTGGTGTTTTTAGCATCAAAGTTCTTTTCACAAAACTGTTTTTCTCTTGACAGAAACAATTTCAGCTTATCTTCAACTTCTTTTCTGTTGATCAAATTTCTTGTGTTTTCACTGACATTTGTCTGTCTATGACACAAAATTTGTGGAAACAATTTTGTATTTGTGTGATTAGTAGAAATCGAAGGCCTGTATTCTTGCTGAGAGTGATGTGTGTCTGCTGCCTGCTGAACTCCCTTCCTCTCATAACGTTTTCTACAGTGTCTTCCAAGATTCATATCATCATCATCATCATCATCATCAAAGTCAGCATCAAAATTCTTATCATAATCTTTATTTAAACTTTGTTCCAGCTCCTCTTTTATAATTTTCTCCATAATGACCAGAGGCTGGAACTCTGGATCAAGAGTTTCTGGGAAAGAACCAGCAATTGTTGCCTGATACTCATGCCAAGCCATCCGAGCACTGGCCAGTCTTGTATCATTCAATAAATATACTGATTTCTGTGGAGTAATGTCACAGCTTGAATGTTTTGAAGACACTTCTGGCTTGGCACAAACTTGGGAATCACTGAAAACATTTGATGTACTATTTGGAGTATTGTGGGCAGCATTAGATGAATAAGGTGGAGTAATAAGACCAAACTCACCAAGATGGTGCCTTGGTGTGCTACAGCTTGCAGGACTACCCAAGGTAAACATCCGAGTGCTTACATTTTGGTTTGAATTCTCTACAGTTTTGGATCCAAGCTGTTTAGTGCCAATAAAAAGATTAACACTTTTCTTTTGACCTTTTATTTTGAACAAATCTTTATTTGACATCTGTATGAACAGAGCAATTGGTGTCTTATCTTTTAAACTTGGACAGTCTTCCTTAAATACAAAAAGTGACAAGCCTTTTGCTTCTTTAAGGAAAAATCCAGCATCAAAGGTACCTTGAAATGTTAAGGTGTAAGGATTGTGAACACTTGCAGGAATAACAGTACCAACCTCCATATTATCAAAACATTGTTGCCAAGGTAAAACATCATAGACCTTTAAAGCATGAATTTCAAATGCATTTATATTACTTTCTGGAGAACAAGAAGTATCTAAAGTTATATTCGCATCTTGTGTAGTGTTTGAGCATGACAAAGCTTGGTGACTTGTCTTCCAGTTGCTCCTGGTTTGCACTTTATAAACTTCTTCATTCATCTTCCTTTTGACAGCATTTCCTCTCATACTTGGCGTTTTATTGTTTCTTTTACCTGAGAGAGAAACATTACGTACACTAACTTCTGTGAGTTTGTTTCCTTTAACTTGTTCTTGTAAGTTATTATATTTCACACAAGAAACATCAGTGACACCATCTCCATTGTTGACTGTTTTACTTTCCATATTCTGCCTTGACGACTCTGTCAGACCTAGATTTGATTGGTTGTGCTCATCCATATGGGACAGTGGGGCATCTATTATCCCAAAGTTTGGTATAGTGAACACGGGCTCAAGTGTAAACTCACTCAGTGTGGGAGCAATTACAGGAAATTTTGAAAGCGTGTGCTCATCAACATGGAAATTGCTGGTAATGTGCTGGTCACCAGTGAGTGACACTTCAGGAGTATTCTCATCATTGGCTGAATTGCCACTAAGCTTGTTGTCCACCAGTATTTCTAGCTTAGTTTGCCCCATGCTTCCTGAGTTATCATGGTGTTCCTTAACTTGTCCATTTGTGCCTTTAATATTGGATTTACTTTTCACCAACAAATTTTGGTTGAGAGCATTCTCTTTACCCTTAGTTGTCACCCTAGTAACAATCAAAGGGCCACGAGCAGTTTTCTTGACTGACTTTTTCAACAAATTTCCTCTCTGTTGTTTTTTTAGAGGAGACTGGCTAGAGTTATTGAACTTAAGTGAGTATGAGTCTTTAGAAAGACCACCAGTGTTGTCCATAAAATCTACTGAGGAAATTTCCTCATCCATAACTCTTGGTGGTATTACATGTATATCAAAAATATTAGATGAGTAAATATTCATAAATCCAGATAATACTAGAGTGTGATGTAAAGGTTTCTTTATCTCAGGATTATCTTGCAGATGATGAACCTTGATGGTTGCTCTAGACAGCTTCTTATCAACATCCACTTTAATAATCTTATCTTCTGAAGAGTTATTTATGTCTTCTCTCTCTTCATTTAAGCCTTTGCTTAAGGCATTTTGCCTTTTGCCATCACCCAAATATTTAACATTAGCATTACCACTGGAGTGGCGAGTCTGTAATGAGGAACTTGAAAGACCAAGAATGTCAAGGTCAGGTAGAATACCTGAAGGAGAATTCCCCATCACTTGTTGATCATCCTTCACCAGTGCTTCACTATCAAGTCTTCTTGACCTTCGTGTTATTCTCTCTCCTAATTTCACATGACCACCTTCATGTGTTTTTTTCTTAACTTTATTTAAATCCATTTTTTAATTCTTATTTTTAACAGGTTAAGAAGTCAGCCACTCATTCCAGCACTCTGTAAGCAGCAAAACAAGAACAATAAGGATCAACAAAATTATATCAACTGTATATTCTTTGAGAATTGTGGATAGAAAGGACAAACTCCACATTTTAGCTTTGATAAAAAAAATTGAAAAGCATTCAAATTTTATCAATGAAGGCAAAATGAGAAATGTACCAGACTACACTAATACCAACAGTTTGGTATGGATGCAAAACAAGGACTTTGATAGTTGCAGTTAGGAGGCAGTGCGAATGTCATGTTTAACCCTTAAACGGTCCAAACGTATATATATGTTCACGCGTGCAGCGCCCCAAATATTTTGGAAAAAAGAAAATCTTTTTTATATAGAAAAAAAGAGCACATTTTTTTAAGTGTTTTAGCATAAAAAAAATTTAGGGTCAGTACTTACCGAGGTATGAGGCCGCGAAGTTGGCACTTGGCGATCACCTGACGGCAACATGGAGCACTGCTGTTTGCAGAAATTCAACATATTTACCATTTTCTTCCATTTTTTTTTCATTTTCTTGGTTTTCATGATATGATAATTATGTTTCATAGTAAGTCATTTGAAATCAATGCCAATTTTTGTTTATACACCAATATTACATACGAAATTTTTATCATATTGTCATAAACACACATGTACACACTGACAGGTGATTTCGCACACCTGGCTGAATCACACATTATTATCTACAACTATATACAAGTATTTACATGTCCCATTTATGTTTCTAGAATTCCGCAATTGTATGATACTCCATGAAGCATGGATTCATACAGAGTGCCACCCCACACTGGTGACACATGAATCGTGTGTCCTTCTGCTGTTGGGGTCGTTTTTTGGTGGTAGCACACACAATACACTTCTTCTGGGCATTCTTCTTCTTTTCGGTAGGTGGTATTGGTACCAGATAGTGACAGTTAGGAGTGATTCGGTCTGGCACTTCCCCCACTGGCTGTGGTTGAGGGACAGGTTGTGATGTGACAGGTCGCTGTTGAGGGGAAGGTACAGGTGTGGTACCATACTTTCTTGCTATCTGTTTGACGAGATTCAGAGAGAAATCTGCAAAACGTTGTCGTTTTCCAGTCTTTACTTCGTACATATTGAATGCATTGAGCACTGCAATGTCTACAAGGTGAAAAAACAGTTTTATATACCACTTGCGACTCCTACGCACACAGTCAACAAACCCTATCATCATGTCGCACTTGTCAACCAGTCGCATGTTGTTCGTATAGTCCACGACAGCAAGTGGCTTCACAATAGGGTCGTTGTTGAACTTGCTCAGTCTGTCTGTCTGTACCATCTTGTTTCTGTGGATGGTTGATAGCAATGTCACGTCTCGTTTGTCATGCCACGTCAGTGCCATGATGTCATTAGCATGAAACGCTTGCACTTCACCTTCAACACTGCCTCCAGTGAACCTTGGCATATGTTTCCTATTCCTTCTAACTGTTCCACATATATCAGTATTGTTCACACGTAGGAAATCAGCAAGCATAGGGCTTGTATACCAGTTGTTTGTGTACAATGTATGGCCCTTGCCAAGGTATGGTTCCATCATCCTGCGAACATCACCGGAAATGCCCAACATGCTTCTGTCATCATCGAGTGTGTTTTTCCCTGTATATACAATTACATCCAACACAAGACCACTCTCACAGTCACACATAACAAAAAGTTTTATACCAAAGCGATTACGTTTGCTCGGTATATATTGCTTGAATGACAGGCGTCCCTTGAACAGAATCAAGGACTCATCAACAACAATGTTCTTCAAGGGATAAAAGTATACACTGAATTTCTGCTTCAAATACATAAACACTTCCCAGATTTTGTATAGAAGGTCATTTCCTGTCTGGCATATTTCTGTCTGCGAAGTGCAACATTCGTAGCAACAGAGTGAATCTGTTGCAGGGAAGGTGGTCACGGAAAACTGGAGTACTGATGAAGTGGTCTGTAGACCAGTAATTACGTATATTGTTCTTATAGATATGTGGCACAAGCATGACAGTGGCAAGGAATAAATACATTTCAGCTACTGTTGTGTCTTTCCACCTGTGCAGCCGTGATGATTCTCCAACCTCTGTTGTGTTGTTCATGACATATTGGTAATAAATGTTTGTCTGAGTCACTATCAAGTTCATTATTGGCTCGTCAAAGTACAACTGGAAATAATCTAACTCTGTAGACTCATTCGTTATGGGACATTCTGGCTGGATACCACTTCCACTAGCATCAAAATCACAAGGCTGTGGCACGAATATACAGTGGACCCCCGCATAGCGACTTTAATCCGTGCAAGAGGGCTGATTGTTATGTGAAATGATCGGTATGCGAATGAATTTTCCCCATAAGAAATAATGAAAATCAAATTAATCTGCGCAAGACACCCAAAAGTATGAAAAAAAAATTTTTACCACATGAAATATACATTTTCCTACACACAAAGAGAAGGATACATGCACAATAGTAGAGTAGTACATGCACAATATATATTCTACTAAATGAAGAATAAATGACACTTACCTTTATTGAAGATGCAGCAATGACTGATGAGACACTGTGTCCTGGGAGTGCCTTTTCCTCCTGAGTACTGTAGGTCCTGTTTGGCATTTTCTTCCAGAACAGGCCTTATCACACTGTGTATGCCACTACGATTCTTAAATATCTCAAACCAACCTTTGCTGGCTTTAAATTCACCAATATGAGCACTAGTTCCAGGCATTTTTCCCTGTTCACCTGGGTGTTAGTCGACTGGTGTGGGTTGCATCCTGGAAGACAAGATTAAGGACCCCAATGGAAATAAGTTAGACAGTCTTCGATGACACTGACTTTTTTGGGTTATCCTGGGTGGCAAATCCTCTGGGGTTAATTGTTTCTTGGTATTCTCAATAAGCCACACCAACAACGGTGCTACAGCAGCAGCAGCAGCAGCAGCTGACAGTGCTACAGCAGCAGCAGCAGCAGCTGACAGTGCTACAGCAGCAGCAGACGATGCTACAGCAGCAGCAGACGGTACTACAGCAGCAGCTGACGGTGGTACAGCAGCAGCAGCAGCAGCTGACGGTGGTACAACAGCAGCAGCAGACGGTACTACAGCAGCAGCTGACAGTGCTACAGCAGCAGCAGATGATGCTACAGCAGCAGCAGACGATGCTACAGCAGCAGCAGATGGTACTACAGCAGCAGCAGCAGCTGAAGGTGGTACAACAGCAGCAGCAGCTGTACCACCAATAGTAGCAATGGTTGATTGGGGTTTATTATACAACCTGGCCAGCTCGGAGACACGCACTCCACTTTCATACTTATCAATGATCTTTTTCTTCGTCTCTATAGTAATTCTCACCCTTATTGCTATAGGGTTGGCACTAGAAGCTTTCTTGGGGCCCATGGTCACTTATTTTCCAGAAAAAATCACCAAAAACACTGTAATAATACGAAATGTTCCGATTGTATGCTTGGATGTTACCGCAGAGGCTGGCTGGTAAACAATGCCACTGGCGGCACATGTGAGGCTGGCTAAGGGCGCACATTGGACGTGTCTCGGACGAAGAGCGGTGAGCAGGTTTTTGGGCGGTATGCGAGGCAAAATTTTTGCGATAAAAGCGAGCGGTATGCTGATTGAACGGTATGCAATGCATACTGTATGCGGGGGTCCACTGTACTTTGTGTCCAGTTCCACTCACGTTCACATGGTGCAGGGTGGACCTGTGGCATGGGGCGAGGGGGGGCAGGAGGAGGGAGAGGAGTGGAGGCAGCACATGGTTGAGGGGGTGCCGGGCAGTCCTTTGTCTGTCCACCCAATGTTCCATGTGGTCCAGGCACCATGCCACCCACCACTACTTCCTCCATCCCCGCATACTCCCCTTCGTGATCACTTTCATTATCAGTGGCCGGGGTTTTGGATCGTGACCTGCCACGACCCTTGGGGATTGCATATGGCACACTGCCTGAACGTAGATAACGATGCCTAAAAGTAGGTTTCACTGGTGAATAATGAACATCACTATCACTAGACGAATCCTCAACTGGCATAAAATCAATCTCATCATCACTTACATCACATTCACTATCACTACTAAAACACCGGGAAAATGATAGTTTCCTCTTGCGAAGTTGCCTATGGGTAACATTTGCCACTCCAGAGATGCTTGGCCCAGGGTCTTCTGTGGCCACACTGGCCACCCCAGAATTGCTTGGCCTAGGGTCTGATGTGGCCACACTGGCTACCCCAGAGGTGCTTGGCCCTACGACAGGTGTCGCTACCCCAGAGGTGATGGGCTGGGGGTCATCTGGGTTATTGTTGATATTTTCACTAATTCCTTGAATATTACTGGCCCATTGGTGTCAAATCCACTAAACTCACGATCTCTATCACTTTCCTTGAATAGTAGAGTGTTAATATGACGAGGCGTGAGTGAATCACAAGGATGTGCCATGATGTTGACCCAGGATGGAGCTGAATGTAACTGGTCCTACCATGTGGCACTCAGGCATCCCAGATTTTTTGTATACTGCGCACACTGAGTGCGCACACCCATTCTCTCATGTCTAGGCAACTCAGGCCTATCGCGCTAATTTTGAACGAATGAAAAATAAAACGTATATATACGTTTGGGGCGCTACGCGCGTGAACGTATAAGTTTGGACCGTTTAAGGGTTAAAGACACTTTGCAATGTGAATATTATTCACAGGATTCAGAGGATAATATTATTCACAGGATTCACAGGATATAAATTAGATAATGTGGAATTGTACAGCATATAACTCATATGGCAGAGAAGGGCTTGTTGAGGTGGTGTGGACATGTAGAAAGCAGAAGAGGGGTTGTTGAGGTGGTGTGGACATTCAGAAGATGGAAGAGGATAATGAAGAGGGTGTACTGTACAAGAGTGTAGTAAAAGGAAAGAGCGGAAGGGGTCGTCCCAGCAATTACTGAAAGAAGGGGTTAAGTTTCCAAGTGCCAGAGGCTTGAGCATACAGCAGGTACGTGTGAGCATGTCA